TACAGAAATAATATTACGGCGAGTTTCTATGATGAAACAGGTGAAGAGCAAAAGCAGTTCTCATGTGAATCAATAAACGATACCTTTAAATGGAATATTATATCAACAGATGGAATCGAATTACAAACTGGTCATTCATTACTTATCTGGTCTAGTGATCATGAAGGATCAATTGGTTATCAGCAGAGAAGCTCACGATTTCAACAAGTAAATCCAATTTGTGCTGTCGCTGGAGTGTATGCAGTGAGAGATGAGAACAAAAAGCAAGAAAAATTAGAAATTCACCCGGGTGATTTAGCAATAAACATGCGTCTGATTATTTAACAGTGAAATTGTTTTCTTCTAAATTCTAATGTCTACTAAAATCTGTTTTCATCTGTATACTTTAAAAAAAAGGAATTCAATTTTTACCAACACAGAAGAAAAATTTAAAATATCAACTGAAAATAGTTCAACATGAAAAATAAGGGCACTTTGTCGATCTTTATCAATACAAAAATGTACAATTCATAGAAAAGATACATTTAAAGCGCTAATCTAATCAATGATTTCAAGACAACAAATCATACTATACAATTTATATTAAAATATTCTATAAGTACACATCTTCATTCATTGACTATCAGTTATTCTAGTAAAAAATATACAAAATATCCTCAAGTACTTGATCAACAAATTGCTACACATGTTGTTACTGATATTCTTTATGGTATTGACCTATATTTTGTATTTGATCGAATAATAACTGATAATGAAAATCGTACAGATATTCAAAAACTATTGAATAAAATTAAATGATTCACGGTTAACGAAAAAATTATTTCAAATGATTTAATAAATCAGTTTACATTTATTAAATAATTTAGATTTATCATCATCTAATAAACAAATATTACATGATTGGATGCAAATCAAAATAAAAGAAATAAATATGTTTACTAGTCTTTTAAATAATTTAAGCAAACAACAGAATATTATTCTTTATATATTGAATTTCTTGATGATGAAGAATATATCGATAGTTTTCATATGAACAAAGGAATAACAACTATTCTTTATCGAAATGGCTTTGCTATCGATTTTCAAATTCCAAGTAAACCAGGACGACCCTATGCAACAGATTGTAGTATCTGAATATGGTAGTCAAAGTATTCAACGATATAAAATTTATGTTCGAAATATATTAAACTATATTTTTAATACAGATGAAAGTGATATTAGTAAACGAATGGTTCAAATACCAACAAGAAGAATTCATACACCTCTACCAGTTGTAGTTTCTACAAAAGTGACAGAGGAAATAGCTATTCTTGATGTGACACCAGCATGGTTCGTACATATGATTATTTATCTACGTTTCGTTTAATGAAAAAAGAAACAGATAATATTGATTTTGTTGTAGAATTCTTCAAAGCCGATTTTACAAACACTGAAACACTTCTTGTAGTTCTTAATGAACTTATTACTCAAGTGGGTGATCGTTTGACTTTTACAAATAAAGATTTTGCATATGATGATAGTGCATATCGAACTGTATGTGGAGTATCAAATCTTGGTAGTGTTCATTCACTTCTTGCTGGAGAAGGAAATATTCAAAGTGCTAAATTTGCTCTTCATCTTAGCGTTGACTGTGATGGAATAACAAAAACACCTAAAAAACTTCGAGAATTTGTTCTAACAAGTATTAATGATATTCCAATATTTCTCAATATAATAAAGACTTGCGTCGAGTATTTGATATTCGCCGGACTTCATCAATTATGCTTGGGTTCGGTATTACTATGCCTGACATGGTTGAGACAAAACATTCTGCTGAGTTCTTGGAAGAAAAATTGAATGAATCATCCATAAGAAAACGTAATGATATCTTTAAAGATTTATTTTCAGAAGACTATGGTTATACGCTAGAACCAGTAATTCGATATCTACAGTTACACATATCCGACTTAGAACCTAGTTATAATCGTGATTATCCTTTTGCTGAAGAAGCAACACGAGGTAGCTATTCGCATTACTTTCTAAAAGGATGGTATCGTCATGCACTAAAGGTGAATGATAAATATCCAGGCGATCAGAAATAGCTTGGTATGAATAACTCACTAGGTGAATGGGCTGTAGGATATCATGGCATAGGATCAAGTGGTGTAAAAGGCATTGTAGATAAAGGATTATTACATAATTCTGTTGCATATAATCAAAATCCATCGATTACAAATGTACAAGGATTGTATGTGGCAATTCATTGCGAAGGAGGAGCGTCTCGTTACAGTAAATCTTTTTAAGTACCCGACTCTAAAGATGGGAGAAAGAATTACCAAGTCGTATTTCAAAGTCGTGTTCAACCAGGAAAATTTACCGAACATACAAATACTGCTGTGGTTAGTGTTGGAAAAGTATGGCGCGTATTCGATGAAACAGCTATACGACTGTACGGATTACTTTTAAAAAGTTCGTAAACGATTGATTTAATCGGTCTTTAACCTCATCGCCGAAAAATACTTCGTCGAAATGCAGATCGCCGATTTTCGGCGATCTGTATTTCGATAATCTGTAACTTCGGCGATATATATTTCGACAGTCTATCATTTCTAGAATTTCACTTTCGACGAAGTGCCAGTCGGCGATATTGCTTTTCGCTAATCACATATCCAACACAACAACTCGTTATTCATGCTAGCACATAATACTAAGACTTTCGATGATATATATATATATATATAT